AACTTTTCTGTCCGGTGATGATGCTGTGGTGAGCTTGCTGGTCTGAAAGCCATCTCTCGTGGATTTCTGAGCTGGCCAGATCGAGAGAGATTAAAGGACTGACCAGCCATCAGGTCTCTTCAGGGGGATACATCTCTTCAGCCCCTGGCACTCGGGTGCTCGTGGCGAGGGGAGCAGGACATCTCCGTGTAGGTGGCTCACTGGCTCGCTCCCCTCGGGGGTGAAAGGCTGTGTTTCTCCTCGCCAGGTCTCCTCTGCAGAGGAGAAGAGGCAGATGAGACTCCAGGACTGCCCCCAGGGCAGAACTTTGTAGCTCTCTCAGCATCCCTCTGCAGCGTGGATGTGAGCCACGGGAGTTGGGGATGTTTGAGGCAGTCTCTGCCAAGTGACACCTAGCAGCTGCTCCGGAGGCTTTTGCATGGTCTCACACTCAAGGGCTTTGCCTGTTGTGAAGATGTCCATGGTGTTTCTGTGAAGCTGAGGTATGGCTGCAGGAAGGTTACTGCTGTATGCTGGCCTCTCTTTAGCTCTGTGTGCCCTGGGCATGCTGGCTGTGGCGATCTGCTCTGACCATTGGTACGAAACTGATGCCAGGAAGCACAGAGAGAGGTGCAAGAGCATCACCACTAAGAGAAATGATCCTGGCTTCATTTATAACTCCAACAACAACCTGCCTCTCAGGGCCAGCAGGTCTAGGTTGGACCGCTGGGAAGGGAAACTCCTCTTGGCAAGAAACAGGAGGCAGATCTTTGCTATGAGCGCAGTCGACGAGTGCAACAGACAGTACAACTCCACCAACATGGGGCTCTGGAGGAAATGCCACCGACAAGGATTTGACCAAGAGCTGGAGGAGCTGATTGCCAAAGGTAAGGGCTGTTTTTTTTACCAAATGAACATGCCAGGCCCTCCTGAGATGAGCAGGGGCTGAGCAGAGCCATTTGGGCTCACAGATGGGAGCTGGCATCTCTAGCCAAGTATCTCTTCTTGCAATGGGTGTACTGGCCTGGGCACTGGGTCCAGGAACATTGCCAGGGCAGTTCCCCACGGGGTCTTTTCTGCTGAGACGTGGGGTTTGGAAGCAAGAAGGCAGTGGGGGTGAGAACAGACACACCCCAGAATGTGTCTTTCATCTCTCTCTCTCTCTTTCTCTAAGCTTGATACAGTCTGCCCATCACCATGGTATCAGGTTATTTTCCACACACAAATAAAAAGTACTAATAAAGCAGACACTGGATTTTTGAAAAAAATTTGTCTGACCCTGGTGGCTCAGGCAAAGTACACAGTATTTTATTAGAGGCTACAGATGTGTGTATTTCATCATTCCCTTATTGAATGCCCCATCAGTCCTGAAATGCACCATTTGCAGTGCTCACATATAGGTTTTTTCTATCCTCAAATGGAGAGTAAACAAAGAGAAATGCTAAAGAGCAGGAGGAAACCCAGCTTGCTGTTTACACTGAGCTATGTTTTGGATTATTTTCAATATCTACAAAACATTACATGAATCTTTTAGAAAGGAATAATTTTCTCTTGGGGTGGAGATGCATCTGTTTGCCTGTAGCATTTTTGTGTTGTGTTTTTTTTGTGTCTTTTGGTCCTTCATTTTAATTTTTCCCCCAAGGTAGTAGTTCAAGGTGATGGTCAGTTTGCCCCAAACGTTTCTTTGATCCAGAGTATAGAAAAGGGACACATGCATAAAATCCAGCCTAAACATCCTGTTTATAGAAGATGCATGGATTTGCAGGATGATGAGGGTTTCAGTAAAGAATGACGGCATCTTTGCTACCCACAGCATGGTTACTCTGTACTACAAAATACCATTTCCCTCCCATGGTTCTTCTGTTGCATTCAGAAGATTCCCCATTGGTTTATTCCCACTGTAGTGAAATAATTGCTTCCTGCACCATGCAATCTTTAAAAATTCCTGTTTTCTAAGTGTGCTCTCTGTCCCAAACTCTCTCGATAGCCTGCACTAATTCCCTCTTCAGACATTACGAGTGGAATTATTACTTAAAGCTAATTATTCACAAGAGGTGTCCTCTCACATGTTTGCCAATGTACACGTTTTGTTCCGTATGTTTTACAAGGGAGCAGTGGAGGTGAGTAACATGGTATAGACTTGCAGCATAACAGTACAAACAGATGTGTACCAGGGAGCCTAGATCAGTGGTTGGGATCCTGCCTGTGTTGCTAGGGACCTTTAATATCTAGCTGCATTTTAACAACTCCTGTGAAATAGATTTGATATCTTCAGCCTCATTTGTAAAGGCCAAGTGCACATGTCCAAAGCGTGTCAGCACCCTGGCACCCTGCTGCTGGCTTCAGTGCCGGGGGAGGGATTCCTGTTTCTGTCTAGGTGAGGGTGAGTATGTGCTGGGCTGGCCGTGGAGGGCTGGATCACTCTGCCACGTGTGCTTGCTGTGCTGGGGGCATAAACAAATTCAACCTTGACAGTGGCTGAACATGTCACCAGAGCTCACCTTTGGTGAATGGAGTTGCAGTTATTAGAGAGGTTTTTCATCTTGAGATAAGTGATAATCATTCCTCTTTCTCTGCCTGCCTTGTCCCGGGTTCAGGAACGTCCGTTTCTTCTGCCAGAAACTGCTGAAATTGCCTGGCACTGGGTTATGTGTAATGGCAGCTCTGCTAAGTGTTAACCACAGAGAAAACGTGGCAAATGAAGCTGAGGTGGTTCAGTGCAGGAGAAGGTAGTCTTTGAAAGGTCTTGCAGTAATTTGTGTAAGTGTGTGTGTGTGCGTACGGTGAACTAACTCTACATGCACAACATTCAGCTGGTAGCAAGGGATTCCCAGGCTCAGGTGCAGTGAGTGTTCCTGCACACATGCACCTGGACATATGTGTCTGCAGATGGCCAGAGAGCCACTTCGCAGAGTCGCTGCCCCAAGGTCAGAAGTGCAAATCCTGCACATAAGGGAGGTGTGTGCAAGTGTCAGTGTGTGCCACTTCTTGCCTTCTTTAAAGGTTTTTTGATGCACATTTAGCAAACTTTGTTGCATGCTGAGGGAAATGTTAAAGTAGGAAAAAATGTTAAAGTAGGAAGACTGATAACACTGAACACCAACATCTGATAGTCTTTCTGGAGCGAGGGTCTGCCTATACCATAGCTCTCATCCATGATGAAGAGTCACACACTAATATGTGTTCCTTTGGCATCTCCAGATCAAAACATAGAAAAGGAAGTATAATGGCAATTTGACAAAACAAAGTGTTCGACCTGCTCAGAAATAAACAATAGAGATGTTTCTTTACAATCCTCAGTTATAAGATGAAAGTGAAGTAAGTGTTGTCACTGTCCAATGTTGAGAACAGCTGGGAGTTCAGAATGAGGCAATATCCAGGTTCATCTCAACAGAACTGTCATGGAAGTAGAAACTACTAGTTTCCACTTCCATGACAGATACTTGCCTGGGAGTTGGAGATTGCAGGGGTGGGTGCCTGGGCAGAGCATGCCCTGTGCAGGTGTAAAGAGCTGCAGATGTTCTCTACCTGCAGTAATCAAATAACCTTTTGGAGCACATATTCCTACACAGATGAAATCTCTCCCTCTATGAGCTCCAGGGCAAATACCATATAAAAGAGGATGTTATTGCTGCATAGACCTTTTACTCTCCTTCCTCTATTAATTTAATCTAGCACACCTCTTCCGGAACTGGAGAAAGTAATGCAGGTTCTGGCCCCAAATATTGTGTGTAATTGAAGGTAAATTTTGTTAAGGGTTGGGATTTTTTTTGCTGTTGTTTGTTTGCTTATTTGTTTGGTTTTAAAGCTGGACAGGATCTGTGATCCCTTTATTTTAAAACAGATCCTACAGTTTTCCCTAGGCATAACTTCCAGTATTGAGAATGGTAGATTTGTCTATCAAAGAATAACAAAAAATGGTCATTAAGAGCCTAACTAGCTTTGCAAATACCCTGCAGTTATTCTGCTTATGAACTCTGCTGAAATTAATACAAGCTATAGGCAATGGCTTGTGGCAGGATCAGGCACTGTGGTACTTGGTAGTATTCTGATACCAGTGGTTTTAGAAACCAGTTCTGTTCCTGAATAGTCTGTGCCACTTCTGTTCTATATTCATTAATTTTTACTTTCTGTGAAATAAATCATGAATCTTTATGTTGGATTTTGCTAGAAAAACTGGAGATCTGTTACATCAGGTTTTTTATGGGTAGACATAATAGACACTAATGCATATATAAAATAGTTGGTCCTATTTATATTTCTTCTCTTTTTTAATATTTTTATAGAACCCATGTGCATATTTCAAAATAATACAGTGAGAATTAAAAGAGATTGTCACAAGTAAGCACACTCAGGGAGAGCCAGGCAAGCATGAGACTGAAGGCCTGAAGAATATTCTAAAGCTGTATCAAAATTAGGTAGTTAATATCTTCTTTTTGTCATTGAGGGAAAAAAAATCAAACCTGAGACAACAGAAATTGCAGTCAATAAAGAAATTACTGGATTTGAATATGCAAAACGAAGTCCCAGTCTTGCTAACTTTCCTCACCTAAATAATCTTGATTTCTGGGAATGGACTACTTGGACTGAGGGAAAGCACAGACAGACCAGTCAAAAAGAAAGAGCTAACAGAGCTGTTCCTCTGATCCTGCTTGCATATCTGATCAAGTCTTTTAGCATCTCAGGACCAGAGTTTCATCCCTGACCCCTCAAGCCTTGCAGAGTCAGGAAATGCTGGCTCTGGGGTTGTTCAGCACAATACTCTAAGCTTCTTCTGATTCTCAGGTGTTTGTCCAGTCTCCTGCACGAACTAAACAGCTCTGATGCCTAACACCCCTTTGAATACAGTGTTCACTATATCCTATTAGATCCACTGCTTGCCTGTTTCACATGGAGTTTCTAGCAAAAGCAGCAATCCCTCACCCTAGCAAAAGTTCCCAGTCAACCAACCACCTCCACCACTAAGCAAGCAGATAGTTGGAATGCAAAGTAAGTGTCCAGTCGTGGCTGGGAGAAGGCAGATTTATGTCCTGCTTTGGCAACCAGTAGCTCACAGCTCCTTGTGTATGACCTGTAACTACCCAGAAAGAAATTGAAAAGCCACAGAGTCTG